TAAAAAAAAAAAATCCTCTTTTTGGGGCCAAAAGGTTTACCAAGGCTCCTGATTTTTTTCATTAAAAAGTTTAGATTAGCCCTAAGGGGTTCAAGGCTTTTTTGGGGCCAATCCAGACTTTTAAACACCCTTCCACCTTCCGTAAATCACTTAACATCCCACTTTATCATCTGTAAATAAAGGGGGCTGAACAAATTTTTTATAGGTGGTTCCTTCCCCCCAAAAAGTTGAGTAGTTCTGTTTCCCCACGATTTCTGGCCCCAAGTGGAGTTAAACCAAATGGTCATCCCTTCCGTGCCCTGGAGAGTGCAGTGGACTCCAGTGGGGCCGCTGTGGCCGCCTCATCCCTTCGAGAGCTATGAATTGCTAGAGGGGCCCTATTTGTCATTTTTGCGGAACATTTTAGGCAGTGAGAAAAGCTAGATTTTTAAAAATTCTTCCCTGGAAGCCATGGGGGAGGGAGGGGAGAACAGCGGTACCAGAGGGTTTATTTTTGCCTTTTGGATGTACTGAAAATAGATGTAACAAAATAGATGTAACTAGAAGAATTTTAATTAGCGGCGCGGACGGTTTCTGCCGGAGACCGGGAGAGATTGGGAAAGGTCATCCCGTCCTTCCCCCAGCCTCCGAGCCGCGCCGCCCCTCCCACCCTAAACCCGGACATACCAGGGAAGGAGTTGGCGCGGCCGCCTTTTCTGCCCCGACATGCACAGACTCGGGAAGTTCTTCCTGGGGTTTTATCTCAAAGCCTCTCCCTTCAATTTGTGTCTCTTTTTGGGGAGGAGGAGGGGCGATGATAGAGATAGCTCATGTCTGCCGTGTAAGAAACATTATTTAAAGTTACTCCTCGGTCCTTTCTGTTCTTGATAAACAATTCCTGCACCTTCCTCTCGAATTCTGTTCTCCATTCCTGAAGTCACTTTACTGGCTCTTCAATACAACAAATATGTGCTGAGTGCTTACTGAGTACCCGGCACTCTGCTCGGCGCTGTGGGGGGTGAACGGATGAGGGGGTGCAGCGCCGTCCCTGTGGGAGATGATCATCTGGACAGGGGCTATGTGTTTTTAAGTGGTGTAGTCAGATCTAATCAGTCATTACTGGATACCTGTTCACATATTTAATAGTAAGTATATAATCCTTACCATTACACTCTGAAATGTTAGGTCGCATTTATAGGTAAGGAAAACGAGGCTAACGAGTCCCTTTCCCCTGGCCTGCCGGCTCAGGGAGCCTCCGTGCAAGCCCAGCACCTCACATTCTGTCGGACCATCCACCGCTACCAAATAAAGTTAATCCACAGCAGCTCTCAGCCATTTTAAGTGTGATTCCCACTCCCCAGGAAAGAAGAGAGGGCACAATGCTCCGATGAGCATAGGCTCGGCACTGAGCAGGGCGTCAGTGGCTTACAAAGAAGGCCGCTTTCCTCACACAACCCAGCCGCCCGGTGCTAACTCCCAAGGGTGTTCTGGCTCAGTCTTCTTTCATCATCAATAATAATAATGATAATAGCCACTAGCATTTATTGAGCACTTATGTGCAAGGTGTTGGGCTGAGCTGGTTTATATGCATTTTCTCTTAATACTCAAAGGAACCCTGTGGTATTATTAACTTCCCTTTATAGGTAAGCAAACAAAAGATTAAGTAACTTGCACAAGGTCAGCCAGGTAGATGTGGAATTTGAACATAGGTCTGGCTGCCTCCAAACCTCAGGCTCTGCATCAAGATGGATCTTTCCTCTTTTTGATCTCTAAATATATATTTGGGCCCCGCTGGTTCTGCTTCCTATTGTAGAAATAAATATCCCCAGCTTAGCTTCTGAATAAGCCCTTTAGTATATGGGCATCAGGCACAACAGTATGACCTCATCAGCGCCACTAATGGTTACTAAGCACCCACCATGAGTCAACAACCCTTCACAGTCATATTATTAGCCCCCGTTTTATAACTCAGTTTGAACAAACAGTGGTTCAAATAGGTAGAATAATGTATTCAAGGTCACACAGCTAGGAAAGTGGCAGAGCTGAGATTTTAGTCCAGGTCAGCCTGGCTGCAGGGCTGCAAGGCAACTTGTATCTCTCAAAAATATTAATTGTTGCAATAGCATCCTTCGCAAGACTGGCCATTTGGGGACTCTCTTCTATACATGTCTAGCTGCAGGTTATCACTGAGCTAAAAACAAGCCCCACTATAATAGGGCACCCCATCCTCTTTGTCAGTGTCCCATCCAGAGAAAATCCTTCAAAAGAGGAAGGAGAGAGGAGAAACCATTCAGAAAGGGACAGATAGGAAGCCAAGGGAATTAAACCTTGCCTGGTTTGGGGACAAAGCTGCAAGTGGTAATGACATGGGAACAATCCAGACAGTAATGTGGGATTTCCCTAGGGAACAGCAAGTTATTTGAGGAGGAAGAAAAGAAAAAAAGAAAAAAGGAGAAAGATTAGATGGAAATGGGGGTGGGGGGCAGAATTAGGGCCCAGGGTGGTAGCATCCATGGGAGAGTGATCAGAAGAGGAACCCAGGATGGGCAGAGGTGGAGGCAACAGGAAACAGGAACAAAGCAGGGCAGAGCTGGGCATCTTGTGGACCGAACAGCGGCTGGTATCTACCTACGGCCACTTCCTGGGTCCTTAGGCCCTCTTAGGGACCTTTGCCCCACCACACCCCAACCCTGACAGCCTGTCTCAGCCAAGACAAGTCTGTTGTCAGCTCTGAGCCACCAGGCCCCACCAGGAGCTCCAAGCCCAGCTGGGTCCCTTGAAGTAGCTGCTTCAGAGTAGGTAGGTGAGAGGTCCTGAGCCTCAACTCCCTGGATATTAGAAGCATGCGGAGGGGCAGCTGAAATAGAGGCTCCTGCATGACCTGTCTCCTGCCTTTTTCCCAGGGGAAAAAAAAAACAGCTTCAGCAATCAAGGGAGCCATGGGGGACAGAGCTGGTCAGCAAGAGCAAGGGAGACCCAGCCCTCGTCTGGAAAAGCTACAGCATTGGGCAAGGCACAGGCAGAGTGGGCACCTCTTGGTGCTGGCGGTGAGGCCAGGATGCCCTACCCCAAGCTTCAGCATATCCACTTGTACCCCAATTCAATTCCATCTGTGTTTTGTGAACACTTACCATGTGTTTGAAAACGTTAGACTCTGAGAGGGAGGAGGGTGGGGGGAGCATAGAATAAATAAGGCAAAACCCTTAATCTATGAGCAGCTTCCATCATGTGGGGAAAGCACATAGGTAAGTAACTAAACTATGACATCAGGCGGAACAAATTAAATGATATCCCCTTCCTTCACTGCCCTTGGTTGGCTACTTCCCACCACCAGGCATTCGGGCCAATTGCAGGGGTTGGGAGGAGGGAGGGGATCCCTGACAGTTCCCCTGCGTCTGGCCTCCAGGTGAGCCAACTATGGCTCGCAGTGGCTGTGGTGCCCTTGGCTGTCTCAGTTGCCTGCCTGAACTCTGCTTGTCACATGGCCACCGCACTGCCGCTTGGACCTGGAGCACTGGTAAGATCCACCACAACAGAGGACGGAAGAAAGATCCTGGGGGCCCTTCACTAATAGGACCAGAGCTCAACACTTGCCTTTCTCACCATTCAGGGTCTCCTCACTGGGATTGTTACCCTTGAGCTGCGCAGAGCACCCCGCCTTTGGAAGGTGAGAGGGGAAGTGAATGCAGTACTATTCTTTGACCACCCAAAACACACACACACATGCACACACACACACACACCACACCCCTCAACCTAGAAAGTGGCTCTCCAAGCTAATCCTGTTAGCTCTCTGCCTGACAATCTTAAAAGACTAAGGCAAAAAGCAAAAAACATGGAGGGCTGAGGGCCCTGTTAGGAGAATAAAATCTGAGTTCTGTTTTCGGGTAGGTGCAGGTTGGGCTTGGGGTTGCAATGAGTCCCCTTAGGCTAGGCAGGGCTGCACTGGTTCACCGGCAGGTGCGCGCCATGATGATATTCAACACCATCAATCTGATCTTGGGCTTCATTGTGGTGGTGGTTGAGGTGATGAAGACAGCCTTGGGGCCTGCAGCACCTGCCTCCTCCATGGTACCGGTGAGTAAAGGAGAAGATGGGAAGACGAGGAGGCAAAGGGAGCCGGAGAGGGATAAGGGCAGGGGCAAACAGGTGTTGGTTCCCCTGTAGCATCCTCAGCCTTGTCTACCTGCAGCTGGAAGGCTTGTTGGTGCTGGAGCTCAGTGCTGAGGCTTTCACCCTAGGAGGAGTGCTGTTCTCAGCGTATTCCCTACTCCTGCTAAACCAGAGGAAGCCAGGATGCTGCAGGAGACAGAGTCTGCACTACCAGGAACTGCAGGAGGTACTGAGGGCAGGGAGGAAAATATGGAGCAGCTACCTAGGAGCTCATTTTTTTTCAATGGCTATTTTGGCCAATGGCACTTAAAGGAAAACAATGGGGCAGGGAGGAAAGGAAGGGGTCCTAGACTCATGCTAATTGGTTTTCTGACTGGACATACCTCCCTTAGTGGTGGGTAAGAGGGAATTGGATGTCTAAATGGTTGGACCCAGAAATGTGAGGAGAGCATTAGAAAGCTGCCTAAATATTAGAAGGGCTATAGGAACACAAGAAAAAAAATGAGAGAGGAGGAGGAGGAAGTTGCTTTTGTCGAGGATTCCTCCTTTCTCACCCCTCACACTTCTGTCTGGTTTTCAGGGTCTCTCTGAGTTGGAGGAAGTTACTGATTTGGAGAACGGTCCCGCGGTGGCTAGCACAGCAAACCGAACAACTGAATGAGGTGGCAAGGGAAGCAGACAAGCGCTGCTCTCCTACCCTGTGGGAGCGTTCTCCGGACCCTACTGCACCCCACCAAAATCAGAAAACAGATGGAGGCCCTAGAGACCTACATGCAATCCAGTGGGAATGCCTTCAATTTCCACTCAGACTAGGCCTCTTTCTCGTCTAGGGGAAGCTATACCTAGACCAGATTCTTCCCTCACCCCATTGCCCTGAAAAGCTGCCCCCCTGCAGGACATCCTTAGGCTAACTTTCAGCTTCCCCCCTTCCATCCTTACCCACCCCCGTCCCATATAGCTTCATATCTTCCTCATCTCACTATGTCCCTTCTTTCCACCTTTCATAATCCCATCCACTCCAAACCCAGGTTCCCATACGCGGCGACTCTCTGAAATCAGTTCTGGGGTGCTTTAGTTCTCCCCCTCCGACTGGTTCCGTACTCCAGCGGAGACTACAAGTCCCATGATGCCCCGTACCCCGCGGCCTGCTGGGAAATAAAGAGCCTTCTCTCCGCGGTGAGGGCGCTGTGCCTCTGCTGAGTGACGTGAGGAGCAGAAAGTCCGGGCCTAGCCGACTTTCCTCGGACGCGACCACTGGCCCGGCGTTCAGGGAGGAGCCAGGCGGGTTATTCCGAAAGGGGGCGCCGCTACCCCAACCAGGCGAACTGAGAGCTGACTGTGGCTCCATGATCCTCTCTCTGGCAGCTTCGGAAACCCGCAGGCGGTGGGGGATGGCCCTCGGCAAAGCTGGGGTTCCCCAAATGCTGTCATCGCGCCCCCTCTGACGGTGCCCAAGTCTAAAGTCCTGAGACTTGGAGCGCGCGCGAGAAGGGGGTTGGAGATGATGAGTCAGAAGCCCAGGGCCCTGCACGCCGCCCTCCCCCGAAGTCTGGCCGCCTGAGAAGGTCCGGCTCCCAGGGCAGCAGACAGGTGGACGGGGCAGGAAGAGGGAGGGGCGCGGCGGCTCGCCCTAAGACTTTCCCGCCTCTGCGAGCACGCGGTGGAAGGAGCCCGCTGCCGCCACCCCTTCTCGCCCAGGCGGGAGTGGGATTGCGCAGGCGCAGCCTCTCGCGGCCCCGCCGACCTTTGATCCCGGCGGCCGTCTGGTGGCCGGAGCTCGTGTTGCGCGCAACCCCCACCGTTTGTGAACTTTGCAAGTGTGCAAAGATGACAAGCACAAGCGGGCTTGAGAAAAGCCCAGAAACACCGGTAGAGGCCCCGTAGTCCTCATCGGGGCAGCTTATGAGCCCGACTAGAAATTGCCCAGAGCTGGAGGACTTAAAAGAACTCACCCCACATTCACATAGTGCCCGGGATGGGTGTGCGCCGCACACTCATTTTGCTCCCACTTGAGAAGGCTTCTTTCCCTTGGAGAATGCTGCTTCTCCGAAGTTGGCCAAGCCCAGGCACCAGCGAGGAAAGAGCGCAGCCTGGCTGCCTTGCCCTAACATTGCAGCGGTGCCAGCGGCAACTCCTTTCTGTTGGTGACACCTTGGGAGTGGTAATAGGCGCCCTATGACAAGGTTATGTGAGTGCTAGTGGGTGGGGATAGTTCTGGGATTAGCTTTTGGAACGGAAAAAGGATCCGGGCCGCTCTCTTCTCCTCCCAGTCCAACTGCCAGAATAATGGAAAGCTCATGTGGGAAGGATTCAGAAAATAATTTTCTTCCAAGTTAGAAGGTGGCGGTGGATGAGGAAATTAGGGGTGTAAAAAAAAAAAATCAACAATTGATTCTCACTGTCTCCCAGATAGGAACTACAAATTTTAGTGACATGATCAGGTCTAGGAATTACATTCTAGTTCTTGAAAAAGTTCAGCGACCATGCAAATGAGTCCTTGTATGGGTCAGGTTGGGCTAGGTTATGCTGTGGCAACAGTGCCAAAATCACAATGGCTTAAAACCACAGAGGTTTATCTCTCACACTACATGTCTAGAGTAGTAGGCAGGCGCCTCTGCTTGTTGTAAGTTACTCAGGTACCCAAGCAGATGGACCTCCACCACTTCGAGATCCTGCCATGTCACTATGAAGCTTAGAGCACCCCCACACCCCTTCCCGGAGCATGAAGAATTGTTCATGAGCTCTTAAATGCTTCTGCCTCAGAGGGACAAATACCACTTCCACTCGAACTTGACTGGCCAAAGCGAGTCATATAGCCACACCCAACTTCAAGACAGCTAGACGGGCAGTCTTTTCATATTCCTGTAAGGAGAAGGGAAGCAGAAATAGTCATTAAAAAAGAAAAGTTAAACACTTGCAGTGATACTTGAACAGCTTAGCAGTTGGAACTCATCTATTCTAGCAGTTATGCCCGTATCTACTTCTTTGGCTTTGTTGCATGAATCACTAAATGAAGTTCTTGATAGAAACTTTCTCCCCAAAATTAACAGAACTGAAAGAGGAAATCTAAAGATTCTGGAGTTTTTTTGTTTGTTTTTTACATATATATACTTTTTTATTGATTTCGGAGAGGAAGGGAGAGGGAGAGAGGGAGAGAAACATCCATGATGAGAGAGAATCATTGATCAGCTGGCCTCCTGCACACCCCACACTGGGATTGAGCCCACAACCAGGGCATGTGCCCTTGACCGGAATCGAACCTGGGACCCTTCAGTCTGAAGGCTGACACTCTATCCACTGAGCCAAACCAGCTAGGGCTAAAGATTCTGGTTTTGTTGTATAAGTTTGGGCGAATCAAACTTCTCTGAACTATGTTTTGTTTACATCGGGATAATAATCACAGTATTTAACTTCTCTACTGATGTATCAAGGCTAAAATAGAATCACACATAGAAAATAATTTAAAACTATAAAGCACGTCAGAGGTTGAAAATAAATTGCCTATAGAGATGAGTAGTGAAAATGAGTGAAACGGTATAAGGTAATAGGGAGTGGTATGAACTGTGGTAAAGTAATAAGCCTAGATTCTATTTAATGACCTTCCCCCGGCTCAACTCCATCCAAACATATGCCATGTGGGACTGTGAGCCTAGTATTGCCATAGTTCCAGTTTTCCTATAAAAGTCAAAAATTCTTCAAAAGGCAGCCAATCAATGTTTCACTCTCACATCGATGTTTCTCTCTCTTCCTCTCCTTTCCTCTCGCTCTAAACACACACACACACACACACACCCCCAAAAAAAAAAACACAAACAAAAGAAAACCAAAAATCTCTAAAAAAAATCTACAGACATTGTTAAATGTCCTCTGTGGCTCTAAATAGCCTCCCTCCTTGAAAACTAGTGCCATAAAGAGATATAATAAGCCCTGACTGGTTTGGCTCAGTGGATAGAGCGTCGGCCTGCGGACTGAAGGGTCCTGGGTTCGATTCCAGTCAAGGGCATGTACCTTGGTTGCGGGCACATCCCCAGTAGGGGGCGTGCAGGAGGCAGGTGATCGATGTTTCTCTCTCATTGATGTTTCTGACTCTCTATCCCTCTCCCTTCCTGTCTGTAAAAAATCAATAAAATATATTTTTTTAAAAGAGAGAGATAATAAGAAAAATTTTCAAGAACTTAATGTCTAACTTCTCCAAGATTCTTCTATTTAAAAAGAGACCTACAAGAACCATATTACACACCCAAAACCTGAAATCCTCCCCTTGTTTTTACACCCTACTCTCCCTTCTGAATTTTTTATCTTAACTGGTGTTATCACTTGGTCGCATAAGCTGAATGCTAAACTCCTCTCCCTCAAATAGTCAATAATGTAATAGCTATGTATGGAGCCAGGTGGGTATTAGACTTATCAGAGGGATCACTTCATAAATTTTATAAATGTCTAACTACTATTATGTAAATTTTTTTAAATAAATAAACTCATCTCCCTCATTTCCTATAGCCAGTTACTCACCATATTCTATAGATTTTTCTGCTCTTGAATGAGTCCTTTTCTCTTCATCACCACCTTTCGCTTAAACCACAGAAAAAGCTTCCTAAATAGTTTCTATGCCTCCCGGTTTGTACTTCTCAGATACCTTTCACATTAGCCACCTAAATGTGACCACCAGCTTCCCTGCTTAAAAGCCCTTAGTTGTGCCCTGGCTGGTATGGCTCTGTTGGAGTGTCATCCATGCACCAAAAGATGGTGGGTTTGATTCCTGGTCGGGGTGAGTGCTGGAGGCAACCTCTCCTCTCCTCTCCTCTCCTCTCCTCTCCTCTCCTCTCCTCTCCTCTCCTCTCCCCTCCCCTCCCCTCCCCTCCTCTCCTCTCCTCTCCTCTCCTCTCCTCTCCTCTCCTCTCCTCTCCTCTCCTCTCCTCTCCTCCCCTCCCTTCCCCTCCCCTCCCCTCCCCTCCCCTCCCCTCCCCTCTCCTCTCCTCTCCTCTTCTCTCTCTCTTTAATTTCTTTTCTCTAAAATAAAAATAAAATTTTAAAGTCCTTAGTCATCCCCATCACCTATAACAGTGATGGCGAACCTATGACACGCGTGTCAGAGGTGACACGCGAACTCATTTTTTTGGTTGATTTTTCTTTGTTAAATGGTATTTAAATATATAAAATAAATATCAAAAATATAAATCTTTGTTTTACTATGGTTGCAGATATCAAAAAAATTTCTATATTTGACATGGCACCAGAGTTAAGTTAGGGTTTTTCAAAATGCTGACACGCCGAGCTCCAAAGGTTCGCCATCCTGACCTATAAGTTTAAGTCCAAGCTTTTTCAAATGGTGTAATGACCCCTGTGATCTGGCCCCTGCCTGTGTTTCCAGTGTCGTCTCCCACATCCCCTTCCTTGCACTTAACTCTTCAGTGACAACAGTCTGCGGAAGGTGGCATCCAGCCTTAAAGAAAGTTTCTTTAAATTATTAACATGTATGATAAACACTTCCACCCCATCTTTGAGCTTCCCTCTTTTTTCATTTTTGATTAGCCCAAGGACGACGATGATGACAGCACTGACTCAGTACAAGGCTGGATGGGTCAGGGCTGTGTGTTACGCACAGTAGTGAGAAGTTAAAACAATTAAAACACTCATGGGGAGTCAAAGCCATATCATGTCAAAACATCTCACTTTGGCACATACGTTTCTTACTTCCATGCCTACTTCAAGCTGTGGTATCTAGTGTTAGCCCCTTACCAGCCCCTCGTGTCGCTATCTGCAGCTGATCCTTAGACTCAGCTCAGGCCTCACCTACTCTGAGAAGCTTCCCTGAGGTCTTCCCCCAACTCCT